TCGCTCGCGAAAGAGAGCAGAGCATCGCACGCACACATGTTAACTATTCTGGTTTCTTTTCTGCACCTACATCAACTGGTTATTGTTGCTATGCAAGAAAAAAAGAAGAAGCCGAAGAAGGGGGTATTATTCGCGTCTGAATGGGCACAAACATTTCGTTAAAGACGACGAACAGCACTGCTATGCTATGCTTTGCTGCAGTATGTATTATGTATGTGTGTTTGTGTGTGTGTGTGTCAGTCCGTGTGCATGTGCGTGTGCAGCAGTAACGGCAAACAGCTCGAGTTCAATACGCGCGCGACGTCTTTCTTCAGCCTTCTTCTTTTTCTTCTTCTTTCTCTCTGCTGCTTCGTGATCGTCGTCATCATCCTGCTTTTTCTTTCTTCTTACTCTCTCTCTCTCTCGCCTGAGTTTTTTTTTCCTCTTAATACTTGCTTCTGTGCACGAGCTCTTATAGATGGCTCATGTGCATCAACAGCAGTAGCTATACTGCCGTTGTTATTGTTATTCTTGCGCGACAGTAGCTGTGGCCTCCTTCGATCTTTATTTTTTTCCTGCATTTGCCAACGTCACGTGTTCGTGCGCTCACCCAGCGAGCAAGTGTGTGTACCAGCGCGTATATGGATTTATACATCTCAGCGTTTTCTTTTGCAAATGGAAAATGTCATATTTTACTTCGACGACGAGGACGGCGCTGAGAAATGAAAAAGGAACGAGGGATGCGACTCCCGCTTCGTCTATTTATGTTATGTATGCTTTATGCTTATTTTGATAATGCTATACCCGGCTAAGCCAGGCGCATATGTGTATCTCTTATTATGTACAGTTGCCACTGCCTCTGCTTTGATTTTTTTTCACGCGCTCGAATTTTTTCTTCTGAGAAAGTTTGAAAGGAAACGATATCGTTTGCTGCCGCTGTAAATCATCGATGAAAATGAAATGTCATAAGTGTGTTACGGTTAAACTGTATCAGGAACGTGTGACGGCATCGTCTCCTCGCAAGCTCATTAGAGTCTTTTTTATATTAAAATTAGGAGCAAAGACAACGAGAGAAAATGAATTTCGGCGTACGTACGATGCTGCATCGCAGACACATGCCGCATTTATAACACTAAAAAAAGAGAAGAGAATGGAGAAAAAAATTCCGAAACTACTTATACGCGCTTGCTTGCTAATGATAAGTAAACGTTCGAAACGATTAAAGGCTTTTAAAAGCGAAGAGCATGCGATGTATAAAAGGAAACTCATTTATATTATTTTTCTTCGAATTAACGATCATTACGCATCGGCGCTCGGTTAACTGAAGCAATTTTGCGCGATGAGCAAGCGCAATGTTCTGATGAGCCGCGGCGACTCGCTGATCGTGCGAGCTGTTTTTCAATTTGAATTTCGTTAATCCTATATAATAATGCAGCCATGATGCCGAGCGCGCAACGACGTCAAGACTGACCGAAGAGATACGTTTTTTTTTGCAATATTGGTCCCACCCCTACTACCGCTGTCGCAAACGAGCTCACCCTTCGGCGGGTGGCTTGCGTAAGTGCTTACGTCGTTTATCCCCTCTCTCTGGCCTTACGTGCGCACAGCTCTCGGCATCCCTTGAATTTCTTTGGACGTTTTTCGATCTCCCTTCGTGCACACTTCGTGTACGCACCCACACACACATATATATAATACTGCTCGTATCGTAAAGTGAGAAAGGGGTTGTTGTAGTTTTCTCGTCATTAAAAGTTCAAAATTTTTTAATTAAACTTGTGCGTGCGCTCTCGAATTCCCCCTGCCGCTGGCTCGCAAGATAAAATCGAAAGAGCTGCGAGATGCGTCGAGAAGATTTCCACGTTCTTCGTTCACTTTTTTGTTTTTTCATTGTTGTTTTGTACTGGAACGCGCGCGTGCGTATATAGCAAAAGTAGGCGCGTCTGTGCGCGGAATAATAAAATGAAAATAAAAAAATAAGCGTTAAAAGCAGATACATCCATCACCTGATATTTATTCATTTCTAAATTCTAGTCTCTCGCCATTCATTACATAGAATATTTTAACATGCACGTGTAAATATAAACACACAGGCGTATAGGTGTATAGCCCGATATACTCGATTTCACAAGCAAAACACGCAGCGCCTCAGGTCTCTTATATTTAAGAGAGTCACATATCGAATTTACAATTTGAAGTATCAATCTCGAATTACCGGCGTAGAGCTACACGCACAAGATTTACACAGAAAATATTTCTAAGCACTGTACGGCGCTCGTAGCCGACTCGCAAATCCCATTGGATTCATCAGCGTTCCACAATCGCGAGCAGCCATAACGACGACAACGAGTATAGATGGAAGCGGCTAATCCGCTCATCCCGCTCGGTGCTGCGCTGCCGGGGCCCATTAATAAACATTAATCATACGAAATATCCCCGCAGAGCAGCGGCAGCAGCGGCAGCAGCGGCAGCAGCAGCTCGCTCGCCCTCGTTCTCGCGCGCGCGCGTAAATTTTTCATAAAATTATTTTCCATCCATCAATCATGTCTGCATAAATCGGCTTCTCCGTCTCTCTCGCTCTTTCTCTCGCGCTCACAGCTTGCATCCACTGCTTACGCCGAGGTGTTCGACGATGACACGGCCAAGATGTAGATCTCCCGGTGGCCTTTTGCGCCCGGAGAAAGACGAGACGTCGTCGTAGTCGTCGTCGTCTTCGCTTCGCTCGCGTTAACACCATATACATATAGTTTGTAAAAGCCGTAAGGAATAAAAAGAATATAAAGCGAGTGTCGTCTGCGAAGCCGATCGATCGATTACATACAGGTATATATAATATAAACGAGGCGTGCCATGGCCGCGGCTTCGACGGCTGTGGCGGCGCATGGGCTTTTTTCCTTGATGGGCAAGAGCAGTTACCATTAGGCGCGGGCCTTGATGGGATTTTCGAGGAAACTGAAAAGTGAATACATGTACGAGGCATCGAGCCGAGAAAGAGAGACAAGTCCGAAAATACGAAGAGAACAGAGCCAACGGTTGTTTAGCTTTTTTCAATATTTGCTCTGCTTTATACAAGTGCGCGCACGTGTATGCGTGTAAGGGACTCTCTGTACGCCAAGCACGCTTTATACATATATAAAAACGCCTTGTTTTTCTTTTTCTCTCTCTCTCTCTCTCTCTCTTTTTTCAAAGCAAGACGCGCCAAAAGTATACACACTCGCACACTGGAAACGTATAAGAGCCCAGGCACAGTTGGTCATTTCTTTTTACAAGTTATTATGCTCTCGCGCACAGCTCTCGCATGTATTTTATGATACACGCGCTTACGTGCGTGCATACCTTAACGAGCGCGCCCGACGAGAGATAAGTGCCCTCGTGGTTGTTTAGACTCTTTTTTTCTACGCCCGAGCCACGATTTCGTTTCTATGCTCGCTCCTTCGTGTATATATGAATGAACGAATGAATTTTAGACGCTCCGAGATGCGCGCCTTTCAGTCCGATTCTTCGTGACGAACCTGCGGTATACCTACAGGGCGAAATCTCTATAGTAATTTTGTGAGGCGGAGCTTGGCCGGAAGTCTATTATAAAAAAATTTATAATTAACGAGATGATGTTGATTCGAGTAAAACTACTTAGTGCCCATCTGTGAATGACGCTTTCCAGTGTTTCGGTACATATCTTTTTGGTTAATGTGATTGAGTTTTAAAATGAAAGCAGTGTGCAATGTACGCTCAGCTTTCTTACTCTGATAAGCTCAGCTCTCATTTACATTTGAAGATGTTGGACGGAATTACATTCGTAAACTCTTGAAACGACCGGCACAGAAATGACGTCGATCTGAGCATCATTAATTTTATCCACAACAGCAAGGTCAACATTATAAGCACCCGCGATAAATAACGGTACACGCGCATAAACTGATTTTATTGATAATAACGAAAGTTGCCATTAATAATTAACCGATTGAATGATTCGTCATCAATCGGCATATTCGATCTAGCTATCGGATTATTCTTCGTCCCTTTATTTAATTTATCTAGAACTCAAAATTAGTCTGGAATGCAAACCCTTAAATTGTTAAATTTTCAACGTAAATAATGGGTTCATAACGAAAAACTGAAAAAGTTTGTACCATTTTTGCATGTGATTCTTCGTATATTTATAAATGTATGTATTCTACATATATAATATACATGCCATCTTATAATTGTATAAACGAGTTGTTCATTAAATTTTAAATTAGAATGAAGTATACATTTTAGTATAAGTTATGTATGAATATTCAGTAATTTCGATTGAAAACCATTTTTGCTAAAGAAAAAGTTTCGCATGGTACCTACGGAAAGTCATCGCAAGGTGGCAGTACTACCTTTTATTTTAAAAAAGATGTATAGATATAATCTGAAGAACTGCAGATAAATTTTTAGCAGAAAAATAATGCAGGTTACTGCTAAAAAAAAGGCACAAAAAATGAAAATATATTAAAGGCAATTAATATTAAATACGTTTGACTTTTGTAAGTTATTTTTTTCATTGATTGTATAATATGTATAATATGTTTATGAGATAAGATGAAAATTCAAATTTTATGTAATTCTAGCAATATTTAATTTTTGGTTTTAATTAAATGATAATTCATATAGATTAAAAAAGTACAACTATGTACAATTATGTACGCACTTATGATATTAATTTAATGGCTCGCAAAATCAAATCATTTCGGTTCTCCTCAATCGGCAAAGCAGATAGTTTTCTAATTATTCAATGGTAAACTTTGAGATGAGAAATATAATTTTCATTCATTAAACTCAATTTTGGAATTATGATAATGATATAAACTGGAGGGTTAAATTTAAATTATTTTATTAAGAAAAATAATATTTTTAAGAAAATTGTACATGACATGGAAATAAAAGGAATATTTATTAGTAGTTTTTTGTACTTACAGTATAAAATATATAATAAATAAGTATATATATATAATTAATACTAACAGTTATTAAAATTTTTGGGTGCATTTAGAAAAAATTATGAAACAATTAAGTTTTAAAGCTATTAAATATTTCTCAATACTTTCACTGCAGTCTTATTTTTAATATGATGAACAACTATCAATTAATTGTGAGTACATTTAAAAAAAATAACACATAATAATATATAAGTTTAAAATGGCTTCATTAAAAATTTCAGTGAATTCCAATGTATTAAGATCTTAATTCTAGATCTACTTATAAATTAATTTCATTAATTTGTTACTCATAAAGTAGGGTTTTTCTTCGGTACCATCATTCCTCTCTGAATCTTCGATGAAGCACAGGAAAATAGTCTTGACAGCTACAGATTGCACGGAAAAGAATACCGATGCGATTATAAAAACTCCAATAGCTGTTCCCAGCAGGGCTATTCCAACGAATTCTGGATCAGTCGTTTCCTCGTCGAGGGTCAAAGAGTAATACAGAGTTACTCCAAATACCGCTATGCTGGCGACGAATAGTTTAGCCATTATGAACATCCAATCGGTGATCTAGGAAGTAGATATTTTGAGTAAAATTTATTGATTCGTTAAAATTATAGCTTAACAGAGTTGGAGCTTACCGTGTCAACTGCAACGATTTTCATGAGATTTCTCATGATCAAATTAAATGCACTCTTGGCAGATTGACAAAAACCTTTTCCGTGAATTGCACACATAATGTAGGCATTGTAGTTCAAAAAATTAAGTAGTGAATCGAGCATCTCGTATGCGTATCTGAAGCAAAAGCACAAGCTTCCTGCACAAGCTCCAGCTCCAGTACTTCTGAGTCGATCTTGTAGAGCTCGGAAGATGAGTTTAACTATTTGAGATACTGTTAAAATAAGCGAGCCAATTGACACAGTTCCGAGATGAAATCTATACGTAAACAAGATAATAAATTTGTTGTTTTTGGAATGACAAAAAGTTAAATATTAAATTTTGAAATATACCTCGTTGCTCGGAAAAGACTCTCGAGTACGCAATATTTGCGCACATTGTTCTTGTTGTAAGTCCAATACCAGGACGCGAAAGCTCCCCCAAGAACTATATATTCAAAACCAGATATGAAAAACATAAGCCAGATGAAGCCAACTACATTGATAGTGTGGAGAAATGATATATACTGCGGATTCTCTATTCTGTCTTGACGACACTGCAAAAATTGGCATGGCTGTCCATTTGCGCTGCACTCGTTGCTAAAAACGATGGGATCGCAGGGCGCACCGTCCAGCAAATCCGTATAATTCCCCAGGCATTGGCATCCGTCAGCGGTGCCATCGCCGATTCTATCAATTATATACTTCGGAACGGTTATCGTGCTGAAGCTCAGAAGCGCAGTAGTTGTCAGCGCAATTACGAGTACGTAAAGTAAGTACGGTAGAATCGGGAATATCAATGTCATCGGTAGCTGCATCATAGCTCTGAAAAAAAACAGAAAAATCATTATTTTCAACTGAAAAAGTATATATTTTACAATTCAATTGTCATACGTACTTGCTGGATTCTTTTATCAGTTGACAACCTAAGTAAATGTTTTTGCGCATGGTTATTATCAGAGCTATCACCAACAGAACTATTATCGATACACATATGAGGGAAATCAATGTGTCGGATTTTTTATGGCGCACGTAATCTTCGATTAATTTGTAAATTCCAAAGAAAGCAATAAGCAAAAACACAGCAACCGATGCATAGAAAGAGGGAACGGCGAACCATCGCAATTGAATGACATATAATAGAGCGAGGACTCCGCCACAAATTATTGCGATGAGTGTAGGGGTCCTAAAATTGAAAAGAATAAATTAAAAAATTGATTCTGTTTTTGATGTTAAATCTAAGTTGATTCTGAAAAGAGTAATATTAATTACATGGCTTTAGTAGAGTAACTATAGAATTTTTGTACAATGTGCTCCATCTCCTTGATAGCTACTCTGACTTCGAACAACTCGTCACTCGATATTGTTTCGTTCTCGTGTCCCTCCCAGGCATTCTGTGCTAAACACTTGTTTCTCCAAGGCTCACTTTTTAAATACCACTTGGCACATTTTTTGTGCGAAATCAAAAGATCTAATTGATCGAAAGACGCTATTGTTGTAACATTAATATCAGCGGTGCAGTGTAATTTTTCCTTGACTTTATCTAAACTGTCCGTGTTTGTTTCTCGTTTGTAGATGAAATTTTCTGTGGGACATTGAGAGACACAGGTGGACGGCGCCAAACATTCATGTTCCAGACCAGAGCAATTTTTTAAATCGAGAATTAGAAGGTAAGGTTTATCTTGAACTTCGGGATCCAAACCGCAAGCGCGATCAGCATAATCGTAAGGTATGTCGAGTTTGTTTAGATTACCACGTGATAGACCTAAATGAGAAATTTGAAAAGTAATTACGTATAGTTTAAAGTTAAAAAAAATTTTTATTTAAAAATAATTACCGTAAATAGCATTGGCTATGTAAACTGATGTGTAAAGCAAAAATGTTACCAACCAGATGCGATCAGTTGGAAACCGTACCACATCTACCGGTCCCTTCCATAATGGATCGTACGGAATTTTCTTTCCTGTAAAGTGAAAGAATGTGTAAAAAAAACTGAAGTCTAATTTTCTATTAAATTTTCAACGAAAATATTTCGATGTCATTATTCATAAATGCGAGTATTTTGCATATTTTATCACAACCCGTGTCACTATATCGACGAGGGGGCGAGTTTACATTTAAGTTTTTGCAAGAAAACACGATACGAGACTATAGGTAGCTATTAATATTTCACTTTCCGCTTATGCCGTACACACTTCTAGCAAAGTATAGAAAATCGCCAGCGATCTTTCTACGCACTTCTACGTGAAATCTGCACTATAAGCCGTAGGTTTTTTCCTTGGAAAACGCTTGCTTTTAAAAGTACTTAAAAAAAATTTTTCTCGATTGATCGAGAATATTCATAATTACTTCGAAATATTGGTCATGGTTCGTAAAATTATGCAGATAATTGCTTTGACAACTGATAATGCAATGCTCAAGTTTCATAATAAATGCCCTAATTTCTCCGGAAATACTGAATGTATTTTGGGATACGTTTTCATGTTTCAAAAATAGCCATGATTTTGATCGCTGTTGATTTTTATCACTTGAAGTGAATTTAATTGTACTTTTGGAATAGTGGAAGTAAAAAAACAATAGAAAAAAATGTTATAGCTTACCGTATTTTTCTTGATTGTTGGCCATCATCGTGAACTTTGGGTAGCAACGAGTTGCATTCGGGCTGGCGCCTCACTCACACTCGAAATAGCGAGCTTAGAAACTGCACGTGAGCAACGTTCGACGACGTTTGTACCAGTCCCAAATAATAACCCTATTAGAATCGTGTAACAACCTGCAGTAATCGTGTTCTTCTCTTCGTTCAAAATTACTGTACTTTTGAAGACAAACAAAAGCCTCTAACGAACAAGTCGCACGAAACACTTGCAAGCACAAAACACCCCCGTTTATCGATTGTCTTTATATACCATATGTAATAACAACGTTGAAAAATCCGGTGCAACAGTTGCGGTGGTTCGCGCATCGGTGGCTAGCAATGAACTGTATTGAATAGTGCAAAAACATCGGTGCTGAGGCATCACGTATAGTCACCGATCGAGGAGCTGCCTTACTACCCGAAACGAAGTAGCAGCATATAGAGAAGCTCGAAGTAGCTGCGCGAGGGTGAAATCTAGCGTCACGACGCACTTTTCACTTCGATATACTATCACGAAGCGCCTGCATAGACTGTATGATATAAAATGTAAATCGAAGTATATCGAACTTTCTTCCGCGTATATATCGAGAGTTGCATATTTAAGCTCGTTTAGGTTTTGTAAATGTGCTGTTAACACGTCAACCGAATGATGATCCAATTCTTAACGTCTGTTTCAATTGAAGTCGTAATTGCATAAGTATCATTATTTTTTTTTATTTTAAATTTTTGAATGCTGCATACTGAAACAAGTATATTTGTCTATTGTTATTTAAATCAATCGCCGATCTCATTATTCACCTTATTACCGTGATTCTTTTTTATATTTTTGTTTTGCAATTTATCTCTATTTGTAGGTAATGAATCTATATTTTGTTTTGATGATGCCGTAAAAATTGCATCAATTTGGCGGATGCTGATGTTTCGTATTTCATTCACGAGTATCAATAATATTGTTTTTGTGTCATTGGTAATCTTGTATAATCATAAAAAAGCCCTCATATTTAATTGATAATTTTGCGAGCAAACATACGGCGCTAGTGCTCGAGCTGTCATCATTGACGTCTGCTGTATGTTGCCTGTTAATCCGCTGAACGAAGTGTGTGAATCGCACGCGCCGGCTAGAGAGTTCCAGAGCGGGACCATAACATAACCTCCTTTGCTAGTATATTTTGACAAATAAATAACAATGGTACGTATTAGTATATTGATTATAATTATCTATAAAATTAGCATTTAATTACTAATAATTTATTTAATGATTCTTGTCTTTTTTTTCAGGCTCGTAACGCAGAAAAAGCTATGTAAGTAATTTACTCTTTTTGTTATTGTTTTGTTTGTTTCGTGAACTGTACTTACTATACTTACTAACATTTTATTCATTTACGTTATCTAGGACAACGCTCGCTCGTTGGAGAGCTGCTCACTGCAATGAAGGGCATAGGAAAGAACAAGAAAGAAGACCGTACTTAGCATCCGAATGTAAAGATTTGAGGAAGTGTGAGAAATGGAGAATGCAAATCATAAGGGAAATTTCAAAAAAAGTTGCACAAATACAAAATGCTGGTTTAGGAGAATTTCGAATAAGAGATCTCAATGATGAAATTAATAAATTACTCAGAGAAAAACGACACTGGGAAATGCAAATAAAAGATCTTGGTGGAACGGACTATGCACGTCATGGTATCATGTTAGATAATGAAGGAAGAGAGGTACATGCTTTTAATTATTTAGGAAATAGCTTTATATTAAATGAACATTTATTAATTTAATAAATTATAGGTACCTGGTAATAGGGGCTATAAATATTTTGGAGCAGCCAAGGATTTGCCCGGGGTTAGAGAGTTGTTTGAGCAAGAGCCTCCTCTACCACCAAGAAAAACTCGTGCAGAGTTAATGAAGGACATTGATGCAGATTATTATGGTTACAGAGATGACGATGATGGATTGATAGAACCTTTCGAAGATTTAGAAGAAATAAAACACAGAAAAACTCGGATAGAAGAATGGGAGACTAAACATGAAAATGATCCAGAAACAGAGGCTGAGAAAGAAGAAGAAAAGGATCAAAACGTAGAAATGCATATACCTACTCAACAAGAAGTACAAGCAGCGCTGCTTCAACGTAAAAAACAAGAACTTTTAGATAAGTACGTGCTCTAATTTAAGATAATGTGAAAATCTACACACATTTTTGTGTTATCTTAATTATAATGTAAATAAATAAATTCAATAGAATAAGGTTTACTTAAAAAAAAAGTTAGATTCATTCCACAGTAACACAAAGAAATCATCAATGTGACTAACATGTTCACTGACAAACAAAATATGATGCTATTTTTCATCAGCAAGTTTTTATTTTCTCATGTAGTTACAACTATTTTATAGATTGATTTATATCAATTATTTTTGAATACAGTTTTTACAAAACATCATTATAAGGTACATAGTAGTTTGAATTTTTTTTCTCACATTATGAAATAACATTGATTAAAATCAGCTACTTTTGTGCAGTAGACGTTGAAACCTCAATAAAGATATAGTAATCGGTGCTTTAATTATACATAATACAAACAAATTTAACATCATTACACGTATTTTAGGATGATTGCAAATTCAATAGAAATATTTAGAATATTTCACGAATCAACTGATTAATTATTTGTCGTTTTATAAATTGTCATAAATTTTTTATCATTTTGATATTTATTATGAAAAAGTGCGATCTTGCATGTAGTCATCAAGAATTATATTCAAGAGAACAAATACAAAATACATATATCTGTTACAGAGTGTTAATAAAAAATGAATGTAAAAATGTCACTTAAAAAAAGAGCCACTGCTTTAAGCAATGTTTACAATTAAATACATGAGTGATATCATTTAATTTGAAATTTATCGCAAATCTTAAAAATCATCTTCATGCGTAATACAGTATATCAATATTATGCACTTTTAATCGTTACATTAAATCAGACTACATGTCACTTAAAGATTATATATTAAATTATTAACTTATGCTTGTACAGAGGAATGGGCGAAAAAAATTCGAATTTTTATAATAATATTTTCGTCGTCTCATCGATGAATAATTGTAGATAATACACATCCCTTTATGTATCGGTTCAAGAATGGAAAGTTATGAAAAAATTTATTGTGGTAATAAAATTAGCGAAAAATGCGAATCCTTACACGAATTATTACCAAAGCGTTGAATAACGAAATAAATTGAAATTCGTATCGACGTTTCCAATATCGCAGTATAATAATTTTTATAAAATTCTTCGCTGAAACTCTAAATTGACAACTGAGTGCAGACAACATAGAACCATGTAACAGCATATTTCCGAGATCCTTTTATGTATGCGTCGTATATGATTTCATGCTTGAAATGAAAAATTATAAATTCAAAATATTTATAATAATTTTTATATATCACTCGTGACCCGTGTTTATATAATATTAGTAATTTGATGGATCACAAAATTGCGCGCATATTATATTATTTCACTTTGTGCATCGTCACTCGTTGCTTTGTTTTTATTAGAATTTTCTGACCCATACATTTACGTATATTGCCATCTTGAGCGCAAAGGTACTTATATAGCTCAACATTGCCTCGAATATTTGCATCCTGCAGGACCAGATTTCGTATTTTTCAAATGCATATTACGTATATACTAATTTCCATTCATTTTTATGAGGTTTTGCTTGCAGCTAATTTCGTCATCGGTTTATGCTCCTTATCACTTAGTTTTTAACCTTATTTTTTTACATCGTAACTTTTTTATCGTAATCAACATATTCAATGTCCTAAAAATCACAACTGCCTGTTGTAAAAGATGCATATAATGCAAGTATACATTTAAATGTAATGTATAATATTTTTTATTTTTCTTTGTGCGTCATTGGATGTAAAATCTATGTTTTCAAGTTACAATCTGTATTATTAAATTTTTTTTTCATGTTTCATCGTCGTCTTCGCGTATCATAATTTTATATATATAATATAGTAACATCTCGGTAGAAAGCATAATAAATACTTTTATTTATTATATTCTTTTTTTTTGTCATTTTTATTTAACACAATACAAAGATATTTTTATAATATGCGTATATATTCGATTATACACATTTAGCACGTATACCAAGCTGGGTCATCGTTACAATGGACATATTATATTTTAAGGTATATAGTGTGGACCATCCCATTTCGCGATCCTCGTTGTTAGCCAAGTTTTTCACCTGTTTCTGTGTGTGTATGTAGATACCATTCATACTTTTACAAATATATGTTTATAGAGTGTGTATGTCGAGGGACAAAAGGCACAAAGTAACTCAAATTTATAGGATATTTCATTGTGCTAATTTTTTCTTCTCAATTGTGTTCATCTGCTTCTATAATGTACGGTCATACACGTCTAGGATTACATTTGGTAAATATATATTTTCAGCTCTGTTGTACAAATGTCGACTCGTATATTTTATATGTTATATACAACAGACGGGCCTCGGAAAAATAATAATGTTATATAGGTCTATGCTGTCTTTCACGCGTTGCATCACATACTCGTTCATCATATTTAAACATTTCAGACTCGTCGTTCGCTCGCATATCTGGGATCTGCTCATCCCCCACCTCAATTCTATATGAGTAATTTTCTTTCTTCAACGGCACCCGCAAGTGCCGTTTCCCATTATACATTATCTTCTATTATATAATACGCTTACGATTTTTTCGTCATTTGTTTTGGCAACAACTCGAGAGATGTACTGGATCTCTCGAGATATCGGAAAATCACAATCGTCACAAGAGATCGTATGCGATCTAAATCTTGCTTTTTTTCATCTTATACACATACATGTTTCACGTTACAATCCCCGGGTTGAGAATTTGCTTCCTTTTCACGTTGGCATAAGTATCTATATTATATATTAGTAGCTCTTTCTATCAGTTTTGTAAAATGAGAAAGAGAGAAAAGCGATCGACAAGAGACGCGTATGCGTGTAACAAAAATTGGATATCTTGCGTGCTCGAGAATATCACTCATTCGCGTAATCGCATGTTTTTCTGCTTTCTTTACCGCGTGCGTGTATTTTTGTAACTTTTTTTTTACGTTTATCGTAGGTACTATTTTATGCATGCAAGCCGCAACGACCCACGCACACAAACCCACGCTGGCGTGTCGTCGCTTTTAACACATATCGACTGCCGACTGCTGTGTGCAATTGTACTGCAATACGCATTTCGTCGTTGCGTCGTCGATAGCAGGGCAGTTGTTTTTTTTTTTTTTTTTTTTNGATAGCAGGGCAGTTGTTTTTTTTTTTTTTTGTTTTGTTTTTTTTTAATCTTTTTTTTTCTATTTTTTTATTTTTGTTGGCGAGACTTTAAAAGCTCGGGGTGCAGTATCGGCAATGCTGCTGCGTCACAGCAACTCCTGCGGTAGTGAACATACTACGCGCGCCAATTATTTACGGCTGAGCTTCTCGAGTTTCCGAATCCGTGCGATCATCTCACTTTTTCTCTCTCTATCTTTTTATCTCTCTCTCTCTCTCTCTCTCTCTCTCTTATCATGCCTTTTAGGTATGTATTATATAAGGAGACCACCGTGGCTCGTCGCTTCACGATCGGGCCCGGCTTCGACGCCAGCTGCAGTCGCCTCAGGGCCGCAGCAGCGAGTGCCAGCGCTGTATCTGCGTCGGATGGGCCACGGCGCGCACGTCGTTCCAGTGCTGAAGCTCGTCGGCGCCGCTGCAGCTCTGGCCCAGACACAGCCAGCCGATCATCTCGCGGCCCTTCTTGCCCAAGGGGGTGCGCCGGCGATTGTAGACCGATAGGTAGAGCGTCACCTCGGCCAGTTGGAACAGAGCCACCTGCGTGTAAAGTCGCAAGAGTGAAAAAAAAGAAAAACGAGCTTCATTTTCGCGCGAGTCTTCGACTGTACTTTATTGATTTGGAATTGCGGCTATTCTTACCGATGCCCGAGCTGCGGATACATTTTTACGCTACTTTAAATTAATACATCGATACGTCGATAAGAGAATAGCGTCGAAAACAAACGCCTCGACTTACAGTTTTATAAGGACAGTTGGCTATATAGCATCGAAGTATCGAGTTTACAATCGGAGCTGGCTCCGCATCGAACGTCATCGGTAAGAAGAGCCGTGACTGCTGCACGTATAGCGCAGCAATGAAATATTCAAGCGCAGTTCGTTGCAATATATTTCAAGAAAATTCTCAAGGATATACAAAGTGTATTATTTCGAAGGATTGGATTGACGCACGACGGAGACGAGGCCAATTTCGCACGTGCGCGTCAATTATTACACAAGTACAATACAAAGCCCTTACCTGAAAGATGAAAGTCTCCTTGTAGAGTGGATTCGGCTGTGCCCGGCGCAGACCGGTCTTGGCGCGGCCCATCTCGTGGCCGTTGGCGTCGACCAGCGCCAGCTTTACGTAGGTGTCGGGCGGTTTGGTGTCCGTGGTGCGAAAATGCGAGCCCTTGATGATCTCGACGGAGAGGCGGCCCGTGACCCCGTTGTAGGTGAGGCCGAGCAACAGCTCCGAGGTGCTGCCGCCCTTCATGCTCGAGCCGTAGGGTGGCGTCTGCGGCAGGGCGTACGACTGCACCGACTGCTGCGAGCCCGTGGAGTCGCTGCGCGTCAGGCTGGCCGTCGTTCCCCAGTCTTGTGCCTGGATAAATGTTTGTGCATTTATAATTGACATGATTCTTTAGAGAAAACAATTTTTTTTAAACAAAATCTATAATTTAAAATCGTACTATAATTTACGTAGGCATACTTAAGCGGGACATAAGTTCCAATTTTCGTTGCAGATTGAGTCATGCATTTCATATTTATAGGACAGTACGTGTAAATTTCATACATCGTAAATCTCGATTTAAAACACGTATAAGAGTCCCTATATAATATATGACATAGCAAGGTGACCTTGATTTCACAGTGGCGAAGAGAAGCTAGCATGTACTGCACGCACATACTTCAATATACAACACATAACAATTACTGTTGTACGCCGCAGCTATATATTACACCTATACATACGTGAGTCGGTAAACTTCGCTGCGAAGTTTTGCATACGCTAGAATATCTGAAATTTCTGTTGCATGAATTTTGGATTGCGCGATGAAAAATCATGCAAAAGCATTATAAAGTATTTTCAAAATTGAAAAAAAATAACACGGAATATCGATTTTTACGGAAAACTACTTTTATGTAAGTTTTTTCGTACTTCAATATCTAGGGTGAGAATTGAAGTAGTTTCCGGAGAGAAATACGATTTTATTGCATCAATCAGTGAGATAGAATCGCATTGCCAAGACTTGGAAGCAGCGTCGTATTGCGCTTTATCAAGATATTACCATTAAGACTTATCGATACAATCAAGGTCACATACATTTACGTCTTGGAAAAAAGTACAGTTTTTATCAAAGTATCGTAAATCTTGGATAAAAGTTGGTAGGCTCTTATAAAATTCCAATCAGATTACCCGTTTTGAGTCAAGAGTATTAAAAAAGGAAGAATAATGAGTGTTGAAAGGAGTAAAATATTACCGAAGACGTCGGCGGTGGTTGGAGCGCGAGCCACAGTGTCGTCTCCAGGCGCAGATTCATCCGATCGAAGGACACGCGAGCCTCGCCCAGCAGGCGCTCCCGGCGCATTCGACCGCTCCAGAGGTACACCCGGACTCGCACGCCCATGGCATTGACGTCCTCCGGATTGACTCGCGGCAGCAGGAAGCTCTCCATGTACTGGGGCGAGCTACCCTGGCGCACTCGAGTCTTACGGCGCTGCTTTTTCGAGGGCAGCAGCACCAGGCGAACTTGGCTGCCACCGATACCGGCGGGATAGTTGCGCCCTTGCAGCACGTGGATCTGCATAAGTTAAGAGGGATTCGTCGTTATAATTAATTTCAGAGTAAAATATCGTAGCGATTTTGTATACGCACCGTCATCTCTCGCATCGGTGCGTCGTAGAGGAAGGCGACTTCGAGGGTGGCCACCTCGTCGGTCGACATGGCCAACGAGGCGATGGTGTCGGTCGGCGAGGTCGGCACATTCTCGTCGCTCGGGGTCGGCGATATATCGTCCGCATGATCAAGGGTAACGGCAGACGAGCCTACATCAACTATGCACTGCGAAATGAACAATAGAAACGCACGAATATATATTTTGAGTAAGTATTGAATTCCTCGATAAATTTTAATCATATAGCATCCGACTCACTTGTTGCTGATGATGTAGCTGCTGCTGATTGTGGTGCTGCAGATGATGACGCTGTGGCTGCTGTTGTTGTTGTTGTTGTTGCAGTTGCTGCTGTTGCTCCGATTCTCGTTCCTCGAGGCAATTATTGTTGCAGCTGAGAGTCGCAGCATCTGTACAACAAAGATACTTACTCAGTTTTATAAATGAAAAAAAAGATCGCGATGTGTATAGCGTTGAAATTCTCGTCGAGCAAACCTTGAAAATTGGCCAGCCCGTCCTCGGCTTGTATGGTCAACGTGTCGGGCGGCAGGGGATTGCGGCAGCCCAGCCGTCTCAGTGCGTCTTCTTCCGAGTCCGAACTCGTCTCGAGATCTCCGAAAGCGTAACCGTTTCCTGCGCATCGATCATTGAAAATTAAAATTTTATGTTATTACTCAATATTATATTTTGAGTACTATTAGCTGAGCCGCTGCGGCGTACCGATATTCTGTATGGCTGGCACGATTCCGTTGGCCTCGCAAAGTGGCACGCAGACGCCGCCGAAGAGGGTAGTAGCCGAAGTAGTGACAGGCGTCGTCGTGTAATACCACTTGCGCGTCAGGTACAGGCCCACGACCATCAGCAGCACCACGAATCCCAAGCAAGCACCCAGAAACGCTGTCGTTTCTACTGTTGTCCAATCGAAACGTATAGATATAATAAAAATTCATTCGTCGTAGATAATGATTATTATGAATTTTAAATTGCCTCATCGAGCGCAGGATAAAAAAGAAAAGAAAAAGAAAACAAGTATTAGCTCATCGACCGATGAAAAAATTGATGCGCGTGTCGTGTTGCATGATGTATATAAAACACGACGCATAACAAATGCACGAGCATCGATCGGGCCAAAGAAAACTCTACACTGGCATAACTGCACACATACACGTATACATGTTTACACAGATAACGTCTGAGCGAGAAAGAGAGAGAGAGACAAGCGCGAAGAGTGAACGAACACAATGAGTTCATCCTCGGCTGGACGCGTCGAAATTGCTTTACCTCCGCCTGCAGCGCGCCGTTGCTTGCTCTATTTGTATATCTATATAAATTTATGTATACACGAACTCCAAGAGTCGTTGGAGACACACAGACCAGCGGGGAGTAAGTAATAATTATTCATGCAGAACGAGAGTTAAGTGAAAAGGCTAAAGCCTGATTAGAAGGCAAACGACGTTTTTGAAAATATCTCCCTTCGTGACGAACTGATCGCATAATTTTTCACGTTTTCCCTGAAGGACTGAGTCGATCCGACGTAATACTAATTATTCGTACGGTTCATTGGCGCGTTTTCCTCGCAAAATTTCAGGTTTAATCGCCGTTTACTCTCGCTTATATTGCAGTGTCGGAGCGTCGCCGCTCGGAGGTCGAGTCACTGTCGAAGACGAGCTTACGGCGAAAATAGGCCCATCCAGCGCGCCAGCCGCGTCTCGCTTGTCTATAGATATGTACGAAAATCTCTTATAAAGCTCGAGTTGCAATGAAAACAAAGAAAAAAAAAAGAAATTGTAATATCGACTCTATTGAAGAGAATATAAAACGGCTTAAAGCGCATTTATACTTCGATTCTCTGTAAATGTACGCTCGATCATACACAATGTATATGCTTGCAATAGGTATATGCTCACTTGTCTATAGAACGGCAGGTATAGATACTACGTAAAAAAAAGATCCGGCACTCGAGCTATTGCGCAATGCCACCAGCAGTTAATTTTATACATCGAAAGCTGTAACATGCAGTGCAGTAAAAAACTATACATTATATATCGCACCGTATTCGTCGTCAGCGAGCTTTATCGAGTTTTATAAATCAAGCGTACATATGTGTGTGTGTGTGTGTGTGTGTGTGTGTGTGTATCGATACGTAAATCCAGCCATACAAGTATGCAAAATAAAATAAATAAAAATATGCCAATTATCTAGTCTCAGCCGCAGGACGTGACAACAGCAGGAGCTTCTACCCCCCATCTGTATAATAGAGAGTTATACGATCGATCAAGGAAAAACGACGAGTACACGACGCATAAATAGAGCCGAGAGTACATAGAGGCGGAATTGGCTTCTATATATTATATATTTTATATATATTGTATAAAACGCGTAGATCCCTATAACGGCGAGTCATGGTCGTTGGGGTAGCTGCTGCCGCGGCGGGACGCGCCAGCCGACCTCGACCTGCAGTAGCAGCACCACAGCAGCAGCTCCATCGACAGTGAGGCGAGCTCATATACCTATAGGTAGATAGATAGATAGACGTGCAGATACGCGTGTACAGAGGAAGAGCAGCGAGTGATATGGAAGAACAGGCGTATGGTGTGCAATCATAATCCGCGCGTGGATCATTGTAGCGAAACGATCTCCTCCTGTACATACTGACGTGTTATTGTATGAGTCGCGGAAAAAGCGCCTACATGATTCGTCGCGAGTATTCCAATGCATGAGCTTGCAATATATAGGTGTCAACCTGCTGCAATTGCCAACGCATAGTGCACAAGCAGGTGCAGTATCGCACTCTACCCCCCCAGCTTTCGATTTTTCGACGCGTCGTCGTGAGCAGGTCGACCCGTGGCGGTGGATCGCGTCAGTCATACGCGGCGTATCGCAGAGGGAGAGAGTGAGAAATAGCCCCACCATCGGCACATACCACCCCAGCAGATCCACTGCCGCTTCTCGTTCCTTCTCTCTAATAATACAGCCGCCTCAGCGTCACGCTATGTGCGATTAAACTGTCTCTCACTCGCCCTCTCTGGAATATTCCGCGCTCGAGCCTGCCTGTCCCTATAAGCCACGATTTTTCTTCTTTTACTTCGCATTTTTCCTTTTTCTTTTCACCTTCGCCGAGTGAGGCGCACTCATTTATTTACATCGATACGGGGAAAAGTACACATAGCCGATAGCACGTATTTAGGTATTAGGGTCGCGGTAGTTGGCAGCGGCGTTGGAGGCGGCGGCGGCGGTGGCGGCGTGCGAGACACATGGACTTACCCGCAAGCAAATGGTCCGGTCCGGCTAGAGTCATGCCTCTTGGCTCATGAGGCTTGTTTTGAGAGCTGTCGTTGGCTGCCGCGGGACCGGGGCCTGATGGGCATAATACGGGCCCCTCTTACCCCCTGTCCCCGCTGCTCAGCCCCCACCTGCTGCACCAGGAGCAGCAGGCGCCACGATGCACCCACTCACACCACTGCTATTTAGCGCACGCGGCGAGCTTAATTTTTCACGCTACTTTGACCGTTGTTGCTTTTTTGTAAAGCAGATAAATTTTTCGACGATGACTCGTCACTGCGATAATCCGTCACTGATTAACCGATGAGCAGGACGTTCACATGTTGTGCATTCTATTCTCCGAAACGCGGTGATACGCACGATAGAAAGGTCACGCGCTCGAGCTCGCATATACAACACGCTGCGGGCCGCCGAGAGCCTTCCTCGAATCGATGTTCTCGTTACTCCGTAGCGCGAGGAATTCGCTCGACTACTGCACCACTGTGCTCTCTCTCGTGCTTTCTCTTTCTCCGTCTCTCTCGCTTTCTGTCGTGCCGCGAGCGCGCGCCACTCGAGGCTCTCCTCCTTCTCCTACTTTTGCCATCGAAAGCTTCATTCTCTACGAATTCGCTGCTACTGCTTGTGCACGGATATGGGGTAGAAGAGGGGGGGTGGGTAGTAGTAGGCACACTGCGCGCATGTGCTTTTATCGCGCGCGCCCGCTGACATATATACACGCAGTTCGTGGCAGAAAGCTCGGCTATAGGCTCTCTATGTATATGCCATTGCTATATAACGGGGCAGAGCAGAGCTTTCAGCTATATCTTAAGCTCAGGTGTGTACATTGACAGGTGGAGGACGTTTCGTTGCAACGTGTGTGTGCGTGTGCATATAAGCATTATACAGGGTTGCGCGAGCACGTTTTTCCACGGCCCCTCTCCATGCCAATTTCACCCAGTACTTGAACCTCTGCGCCTCTGCAGCTTTTGTGTGTACAGTGCAAGACGATTCGGTAATGAGCAGACAACGAAAATGCAGCATTGCAGGGGCGATGCCTGTATGCCTACTCATATGCTATTGTTATTATGGCCGCGTTTGTATAAACAAAGGAGAGCCCTACTACACTGGGTTTGTGAGTCAAACGACGTGCGCCGTGCCTCTGTCATTATATTATATCCTTTTTGCTGCGGCGCATCTTCTCCGCCAGCAAAAACTTGGCTTGTACATGCAGCGCAAGGAATGTTCACCATGAGGGGCGCCACACGCTCGATTTGTGCCCTCGTCGTTGCGTTCGCGCGAGGGGCAACCTGTTGCGGCTTAAACCCACTCGATCTCCATTGCTGCCTGTGACCTTGCTACTCAACCCAATTGCCGATCCATCCGCTCGCCTCGTTCCGCCTTTTTATATTATCATGCGCGCATCGATTTTCATTGATCCGTCATCGTGTGATATCCGCGATCGTTTGAGAGTCACGACGCAACACTCCACGTTACATATCGATTACATCGACATTGCATTCGAGCACTGTAAGCTTTATTGTTGACGAGCATTGCGATCCACTATAATTTTTCATCGCGAATTTTTTTTGACACTTTGGTTTTGAATGAAAATTCACGAAGAATACGTAATGTGTTACATACTTGATCAACACTGTGACCGTAAAAATAAAATACTTGATCAATGTAAAATTAGTCAGATTTGCGAGGAACTTTATTTTTTGAGACCTTTTATTTTTGCTTTGATCGCGTAACGATTTAAACTATCAAAATATCAAATTAACGATAAGTTAGTTATACATGAGGAAACATTAATCAAAATCTGTTGTATAGATTTTTTAAGAAATAGAGTAATATCAACCCGAAAACAGATTCCCATTAGAACCTGCCTTAAATTCATAAATTTTGTTTTTTTATATCTTAGCTTCAGCTGATTTTTATTGGAATCATAAAAACCCTCTCCCAAAATTTCATAAAATTCTCTTCCCCAATACCGCAACTGCCGAACCATTCTCAGAATTATTCTCAAGTGGTCGAAATCGTATCACTCGAGAAATTTCGAGTCGCAGTTTACATTAATGCACCGTAAAATAATTGCGTCTGACACAATCGCAGGTTTCCTCTACTTACTGACCCTGCGTGTAAATGCAGGCCACGTGACCGCCTGCGAGCCATGTGCCTTAATATCGCGCAGTCACATTCCTCCGCCAAGCGAGCAGACTTCTCTATTTTGCTGTCTGCTATTCACGCTTCGCTTGCTTAGATGGCAGCTTCTTGTACATGCTTATGTTATGAATGCTCATATGGCTTGAGCTGCTTCAGCATCGGTAGTGATAACATACCGAAATATGTTATAATGAGCACTTGCAGTGACGTTTCAATCGACTGAGATTCTACGCTTTATCGAGTGCGTAATGTTTGGTTCACCGTACAAATTCAAAAGTACCAAGTAAGTTACGCAAATGAATATTTATTCCTTTAATTTGCCAAGCCACTAGTGAAGTAACCTAATACAAAGTTTCAATCTCACGTCAATTTTATAAATTAAAGGACTTTTTTGATGCAATGGCGATTTTTCCCTAATTGTTCAATGACTCTGTCACTTTCAGGTATTGCAATTATGAGTTACTTTGCGGTGCTACGTCTCACCAGATGCAGAACACTCGATAGGTGTTTGATTGAGAGAAGCTTCAGACAAGTAGTTCCTCGATTATACTCTGTAAATAACGATGAAGCTTACGACAGAAAACAAGAAATCAAACGGTTACGTAGGGTAAGGAGAAAAGAGATTAAGGCCCGGTTAATTCAAGATTTCGAAAAAACAAAAAAAAGAGTCGAGGAGATCATTGAGAGAGAAAATATTTGGACAATACCCAATTTTCTGTGTGTTGGACGTATATTATCAACTCCATGGTTGAGTTACTTGATAGTATCTCAAGATTATAAAGTAAGTATATAATTTGCAGTAAATGTTATAAGTAAACTTTTTCATCAGACCTTTTATTAAAATACCATATTACTTCTAGGTAGCTCTTTGGCTTCTTGGATTTGCCGGTCTTTCAGATTTAGCTGATGGATGGATTGCACGCACATGGACATCGCAAGCCTCAAAGCTTGGCAGTTTTCTTGATCCTGTAGCCGATAAGCTACTGGTTGGCACAATGTTTTTATCGCTTACTTGGGTAGGATTGATACCAATTCCTTTAACTGCCCTTGTAGTTTCCAGGGATGTTGCTTTAGTAGCTGGAGCATCTTATGTTAGATACCGTTCATTGCCACCACCGGTAAGGCTAATTTTTTCAGATTTTTAATAATCCACACTGCATTCATTCGTTATTTTATTCAATTTTGTAGAAAACACTGGCTAGGTACTTTGATGCTACACATGCAACAGTTCAATTAGCACCAACATTCATAAGTAAATGTAATACTGGAGTCCAATTACTATTGGTAGCAGGAACACTAGCTGCGCCAGTATTTCATTTTGTTGACCATCCACTGCTTCAAGGTCTTTGTTATTTAACAGCAATTACTACTATTGCAGGAGGTGCTAGTTATTTATTTACAAAAAACACATATAAAATACTATCAAAAAAAGATAGCACAGGCAGGCAATCATGTAAAAATAATTGAAATCGATTGACAAAAAATTGTAAAAAACTGTTTCTATGTACATATTTATTAAATTTTGTTTTAAAACAATATTCTATGCGTATCAATATTTATTTACAATAGTTCAACTGTTAACAATTTTTAAACTTAGTAAATTTTTAATTCAGATTGGTATTGCTCATAAGCTGTTTCTTCTATGTGACTTGGATCATACTCAACACCAACATAATCAATTTCTAAACAGAAAGGTCCAGTGATTTTATCTGCTAAAGTCAAGCTAAATGAACCAATTGAATTTTGTTTCAAAGGTGTTGTTGACGTTTGAAGCCTTCCCTTGTATGCCATGAAAAATTTGGAAAATGGTATTCTTATGTGTTGCCAATATGGCCCACCTCTTGTCCATATAAAATAATGGTACGTGTCATACATGGTAAGATCTTCTGGAGTTTCTAAATGCAAGTTAACAGAATAAACCCTGCCATCTCCTCTAATACGTAGAACAATATGAGTATAAAGTTCCCAATTATAGTATATTTTCTGTTTAAAAGGACTCATAGGTGGAACAAGTCGTAAATTGACAAAACCTGATCTGGTCATTTTTCCATCTTTGGGTATTTTTGTATCGAGAAAGCCATGAAACATACCTTTTGAATCACGAGTTATGTCTAAACTATAAAATTGAAATAAATTTGAAATCTTAACCACTGGATATCAGATAATAAATACAATCATTTTTTTTATAAAAACAATTTCAAATGACTTACTTAGCAGAGGAATATCCCATTTCATGATCTTGATCAACAGTTACAATCCATTTGTCTTTATCCTCGGGCTGTCCTGTAAAACGCATAAGGACATCTACTTCATGAGGATGTACAACTATCATTGGACCTCTCTTGAATTCACTGATATAGTTTCGATAAGTTTCCTTTATTCCTTCTTTGAATAGATTAAATTCCAAAAGTAATTTTCTTTTGAGTGACCATTTTTCCCATTCTCTCTCTTCTTTCGATTTTATTTGTTGACCATCTTTGTCAGGAAATTCATGAAACATAGGTCTGCACTTGGACGAGTGAAAACCTCTTTTTGATACATTTTGCACTAACAATCGACCCCAGTATAACGTCATTATTATTTGAAAGATTCACGCCTAAAAAATGTAATAATTATTATTACATTAAATCACATTAAATTAATTTTTACATCAAATGAATTAACTTTAAATAACGTCAAAGCATTAAAAAAAAAATTTCTTATCACTTTAAATACAGCATATTACAAGTTTATTTTCTTTATATTTTAGAAAACTCAACACTGTTTAATAACGTAATGCAAGCAACAGTAATATATTCATTGCTGTAGTCTGCTACAATTCACATGCTTCCCAATTTTATCTTTTAATTACAATAAAAATGAAAACACGATTCTAACTTTTTTAAATAAAATTTTTTACCTATTATTTATGAATTGATGACCATTGTCAAGTCGAAATTGCCATTGGAAATTAAATAAATAAGTATTTTGTCAAATTGGTTCGAGTACTATCTGGCAGCCTTGCGTTATGCTACAACAACACATTCATCGTTCTTTCTTTGTACTAAACCGTGAAATGTGACGGTACTTTAACGCAGCATTGTCTGCTGCATCGAGCATGCTGCAAATATTTCTGAATGCCATTCGCCGGCGCGATATGAAGTGAAATTTTCATCGCAAGCATGGCAACACTCAGGCTATTTAAACAAAATCGACTACTTTTTCCTGCCAGTGGGCGAAGGATCAATAATAAATGTGCAAGTGCACAATTTAACACAGATGCAACACCCATGTCGGAGGCTGTTGTTCCATTTTCAAATGGGTAAGAAAAAAAATTGCATGAATCACCTAACCAAATTGGATTTTAGCATTGACAAGCAATTGCATTAAATAAAGTCATTTAGGGGACAGTTTCATAATTGTTGTTTGTTGATAAGTTTTTGTTTGTTCCTGGTGAATCACATGTTAAAATAAAATGACTTGACAATCATTCAGTTTCTCAATTTATTTGTATCTGCAATCTTAAAAATTCTTGAGAATAATTATTTAAACATTTAAATTTTTAGCAAAAATATGTTACTGTCGACGGGCAAATTTGCTCGAATGGCTGATGGCTGTGCAGTAGCAACTTTGGGAGACACATCTGTAATGGTTACAACTGTTAGCAAATCACATTCTTCAAACAATACATCATTTGTACCATTAATCGTGGACTATAAACAAAAAGCTGCTGCAGCTGGAAGAATTCCTACTAATTTTTTCAGAAGAGAACTAGGTCAAACTGAGCATGAAATATTAACTAGTAGATTAATAGATAGATCATTACGGCCTTTATTCCCTAAAAAGTATAATTATGAGACACAAATTATGTGTAATATGTTGGCAATAGATGGAATTAATGATCCTGATGTGTTATCAATAAATGGAGCTGCGACTGCTTTAGCTTTATCTGACATTCCATGGAATGGGCCAGTTGGTGCTGTAAGAGTTGGTCTTATTGATAAAGAAATTGTTATTAATCCAACTCGTCAAGAAATGTCTCAGAGTTCATTGAATTTGATTATTACTGCTACAAAAGAAAATCTAGTAGTCATGTTAGAAGGATCAGCTGATAATATAAGTGAAGAAGATTTGAAAAGAGCTATTGAGTCTGGAGTTAAAGAATGTCAATCAATAGTCCAAACTATTCAAAAACTTCAAAATAGCCACGGTAAAAAAAAAAGAGTATTGGATCCTCCAAGTGAACTCTCAGATGAGGTAAAAGAGGCAGTAAAAATGTTGTCTGAAATGAAGTTAAGAGAAGTTTTCACAGATTATAAGCATGATAAATTATCACGTGATAATGCTATAGCTAACATTAGAAATGAATTAATGACAGCAATGAAATCAAGTTTTCCTGATTTAGATTTGAGTGCAGTTGTTGAATATTTCTCTGAAGTCAGTAAAACAGTCTTCAGATCATTAATATTTGAAAATAATCTGAGGTATGTTAAGAAAAAAATAAATTATTTTTCAAATGTCTCTAATGATTAAAAAATGCTTAATTATAAAAAAAATTTTTAGATGTGATGGACGTAAGCTTAATGAGTTACGAAATATTTCCTGTGCAGCTGATTTATTCAAACCTCTTCATGGTTCAGCTCTATTTCAAAGAGGTCAAACCCAAGTTCTTTGCACAGTTACGTTAGATTCACCAGATAGTGCACTTAAAATTGACACTGTATCAATGTTAGCTAGTGGTATCAAAGAGAAGAATTTCTTTTTACACTATGAGTTTCCTCCATATGCCACAAATGAAACAGGAAAGTCAGGCATTGGTAGAAGAGAAACAGGACATGGTGCCTTAGCAGAAAGAGGCTTACGTTCTGTTGTACCAAAAGATTATCCATTTACAATCAGATTAACAAGTGAAGTTCTTGAGTCAAATGGTAAGCAATGTACACACAGTGTACACAAAAATTTTAATAAATCTGTTACAACAATTTTGTAAAAATATGCAAAATTGCCACCTTAAGGTTCATCATCAATGGCTTCTGTGTGCGGAGGTAGTTTGGCTTTAATGGATGCTGGCATTCCAATAACATCTGCAGCTGCTGGTGTAGCTATAGGCTTAATGACCAATTACAATGAAAATACAAATAGTATTGAAGACTATAAAATACTGACAGATATTTTGGTAAATAAATTTAGACTTTTATAAATTTTTAAATGATCAAGTTTACTTTGATGTATTTAAATTTAATTTTAGGGAATTGAGGATTATTTGGGAGACATGGATTTTAAGGTAGCAGGAACAAAAACTGGTTTTACAGCTGTGCAGGCTGATATAAAAATCCCAGGACTTCCATTAGACATTGTATTCAAAAGTCTTGAGCAAGCACATTCTGGAAAATCGCAAATTTTGGATATAATGAATAAAGTTATATCTAGGCCAAGAACCAATAAAAAAGATAATATGCCAGTCACTGAAAGTATTGATATTCCTATGCATCTCAGAGGAAGACTTTTAGGTTTTGGTGGAAGCAATATAAAAAAAATATTTCTCCAAACAGGAGTCCATGTAAGAGCTAATTTTTTTTTCTTATTTACGATAACAATTTCAAATCTAGTACCATACTTTTGTTTTGAATTTTAATAATAATGAAAACTGTTTTTTACTTTAGATAAATCAAGATGAAGATTTTAAATTTACTTTGTTTGCACCCAATAAGTCAGCAATGAACGAAGCAAAAGAAATGATTGAATCTTCAATTAAAGAAGTAAAACAACCTACATTAGAATTTGGAGGAATTTACACTGCAAAAATAGTAGAGCTAAAAGATTCAGGTGTGCTGGTCACTCTATATCCTACTATGCAACCGGCTCTACTTCCTAATTCCCAGTTAGATCAACGGAAAATAAATCATCCTAGTGCACTTAATCTAAAAGTAGGAGATGAACTTCAAGTCAAGTACTTCGGTCGTGATCCAGCATCTGGACAAATAAGAATGTCACGTAAGGTTCTGCAGACGACGAATTTCGTAGCTAAAAATTTTACGTAGCTACGTATTTTAAACAATTTTTTATGTTTTGTTACTCAATCTGTGAAAATGATTATTTTTACACCATTACATTTATAAAATTTATAATTGTAGACGACTAAGTTGAAACAATTATTGTTAATGTGTAAATATATTTTGTAAATACATACAGTATAAGTAGAAATGTTATGTCAATGAAATAATTTAACTTTATTTGTTTCAATTGTATAAAATGTGCAAGATTGTTCATTTTATTGTGCTCGAATATATACATTTTTTAAACTGCAATTATCGTATTTTTCGATTCATTCGATGATGATCAAAGGAAAAGATTGAAATGCCCGAAGTTGGCTGAATTTTAAACAAAACACATTCGTACGTCAGAGTGCACGTAAGCCTGTGCAAACCGTTGCCACGCGTGTAATCACTTGCGATAACCATGAAGACGAATAAAAATTACAAAAGCCTCATTTACCATTATATTTTCAAGAGGACATCGACTTTTATTCTTGCTGTAGTCGTGACCTCCCTGTTCTTCGAGCGTACGTACGACCATTTGTGCGAGGCTATATTTGAAAGAATAAACCAAGGCGTGAGTACATATTCAAGAGATTCCAATGTCCCCATCTCGCGATTGATGATTTCAAAAAAATTCATCCTTGTAGCGACTTTGGAGACATATCAAACACAAATATGAGAATAACGGCGACGAGGACGGTTTCTCGATGCCCAGCGCAGACGATGCAGCGGCAGATTAAGTAGAAGAAAAGTAAACTTATCACATTATATGTGTACTTTCACTCTATTCTATGTTGTTCATTCGCAAAATGGAGTGATTAAAATTGCGAATTTTATACATGTAGAAATTCTGTTTTCGATAATTTAAGAAATGATAATGAAAAAATTTTTCTGAACTTAGATGTAAGTTATTCATGAAAAATTTCCAATTTTTTAAAATATCTATACTATAAAATGTATATGTAGAATGCTTGCTTATGTGGTATTTGTTACGAGTTTCAATGACATTTGACTCTGTTTTATAATCTGTTAGACATCTGATGGGATGATCGTTAATTGAGGTAGGTGGATATTTTTTTTTGAGTATTAAAAAATTGAAATGAACAAAAATGAATGTATGACCGCAATCAATTCATCAATTTATTCATCTCGCATCGATACTGATTCTATAGGATGTATTGTTTTGCCATTTCATTATCAGAATAAATTAGGTCAAACTTCGATTATAAAGCACCAAATTTATTTTGCATTAACGTTAATTTTATTTCATCAATGTAAGGAAAGAATAATATCAAGACCAAAATTTGAAGTTTTTCACTTTTTCAGATAATAATAATTTTTTTTAGTTGGTTCATAGGCGTTGCTCTTGACACATAGATAACCCTTACTTCAATGTCTTTCTATCTAAACATATTTTAGGTCAAAGTCACAATACAATTTTTGCGTTTTTCACATTTTCTTCATTCGTACAAAATATTCATATAAAATGTAACTAATTAATATTTAAGTGATATTTGTTTGAGAAATTTAATCCAATCACGTAATAAAATGTTTTTTAAATTTTAATTCACATTTTAATTTCATCGTTCAGTTGTCAATAATGAGTAATTCATGACCTTCGCTGCTAAATCTAGCCAGCCTTCAAATTTTTCGCCCTCAATTTAGTATTTTAAAAAAATTCACTGTTTTGATTCATAAATCAGACGTTTGCAGCCTTCATATAAATATGAAATGCCATTGCATCGTTTCATTGAGTCGTAGAGCTTCGAGAGAGAGAGAGCGCATACATCTGAAGTGAGTAATAATTTTTTTTTTCACTTTTGACGCGAAACACGTGTATCACAAGTATTCAAAAGATTATCTTACCAAATTTTGAGTTCGAAAGAAAATTTTACAATTTTTTATAATTAAGATTATTTTTTATTACAAATTGATGTGATTAAAACTGTAAGTTATAAAGTTATTATTTTCTTATTTAATTATATTAAATTAAAGTTTTCAGCATTGACACCATGAAGAACTTTATCACGCTACTATCGTTTCTCTTGATTCTGTGCGCAACCTTTTGCCGAGGTCATCATTTCTTCGAACCTGGAGCGATTCATTTTCCATTGCGCGATGTGCAGCAGTCCATCAATTACGAATCGTTTGCCTCGAGCCAGCGCAACACGACGGTCGGACGATGCGAGACAGTCTCGAGGCATCGCGTCGTTGCTCTGAATTTGCCGAACTTGGACATGCAGTCACCCTTGAGTCCGTATCCGGGCTTCATCGACAGTCACGATGTTAGCTGTCTGAATCTGGCCTCGAACGAAATCAGACAGATAGTTCCCGGCTCGTTCGAGCGACTGCCTAATCTCGCCTATCTCGATCTGTCTCGCAATCATCTTCAGCTCTGCGACTTTTTTAATTTCGGCAGCTCGCATCCGAGCCTCACCACGCTGATAATCGAGGATAACAGGCCACCCGCGGACAATATCGACAAGACCATAAGCCGCGCCGAGTGTTTGCCGCAACTGCGCTACCTCTACGTGCGTCGCAATTCCATCAGAAACATTAAGTTCTCGCTGAAAGCTGCCTTCCCAGCCCTGACGCACTTGTTTTTGTCGGACAACAGCCTCGATAGCAACGCCTTCATTCACCATTTGCCGGAAAGCCTGACTCACCTGTATCTCGAGCGCAATTTAATCAGCAGTCTCGACTGCAAAATCATGCGAGGACTGGAGACCCTTCGTCTCGATGGCAATATCATCGGCTCGATTTGCTTACGCAGCTGTCAGGATACGTCTCTCAAGCTCGCTGGTGTTCATAAGCTGCGCGAGCTGTCGGTGTCGGACAATCGGCTAATCGACGTCGAGTCCTGCGCGTTTCAGGAGGCCACGCGTCTCGAGGTGCTGGATTTGTCGCGCAACGAATTGTCCAACGTCAAAGTAGAGACGTTCGACGCGTTGATTTCGCTCTCGGAGCTCAATCTCGACGACAATCTGTTGAGAAGCGTGCCAAATTTGTTCAATAATGTAAAATTAACGAGTCTCTCCATTAGGCGTAATAAATTGCAGGTCATCGAGAGAAGAGAATTGCAGAATCTAAAATCTCTGCGAGTTCTTCAGCTTGGTGGCAATAGAATTCGTAGTATCAGTGCTGGTTCTTTCGAGGATCTCGATTCCCTCGCCGAACTCGATCTCTCGAACAATGAGTTGGACTTCATACCCAGCGATTTGCTCAAGTGGCAGTGGAATTTACGGACCCTCGATGTTCGCGGCAACCGATTCAAGACCCTTGAACAAATGTCGTTGTCTCATGCTCCAGTGCTGAATCTGATCTACCTACAGAACAATCCGATTACGCACCTTAGTGGCTCGATCCTATCGAAGCTGGCGTCGAATCTTGTTGTTCACCTAGAGAGCGACTGCAGTTCGAATAAACGTCAGAACCGAGATTGCTACGCCAAGTGCGATCTCGATGAAGTGAGACTGAGGAATGCTACTTATAGTAGATGGATCAACAATCAGTAGGTATTTGAAGGTCTTTGATGTAACTTGAATGGAAAAAAATACGATTGAAGATATGCTTGATTTTTTTGACCATGAATTACTATGACTATTCCACGCAAAAATAATAGAATGATAAATATAAAACCATTCCTACGTTCATTTATTTGTGTTAAAATAATTCAAACATCATCATAATGGTCATGAAGCTTTATGATTTCGTAAGCTCTTTGTTGTGTTTCGTTACTGATGTATCTTGAAATGTATAATTTTGTGATAAAATTTTGTACCTTGTTTAAAATAAAATTTAAAAGAAATAAAGAGGCATAACATTTTTTACAATGAAATCGAATTACAAAGATAGATGTTCACTGGAGCAACTCCTGTTATCCTTCGTTGTCACAAATATTTACCTATTGTAAATTTTTTAGTAGATAGATTGCAAATAATTCAATTCCCGCAAACATATTTGAAATTGCACCAATTATAGTTTCAGCATCTGTTCGATACAACATTATTATGGAAAAACTAATACTGAACAATAATGCTTTTATAAATTACATTCCCTTATTCTTATATAATCGTGATTAGCAATTCATCGAGAATTGCGCATAGATCGATTGTCTTCAGGGCTATAGCTGTGCTTTTTTATAATATTGCACCTTGAATGCATTGCGTGCAAAGCTTCGAAAGTGCTCGACGTAAACAAAGTCATTGAGAAAACTCTTAGAGTCTACGGAAAAATTGGATTTTTATAAACTAGTCTAAGGTTATAAAAACATGATTATTGGTCGTATATAAAAGCGATTTGGGAGAAGTTTAGGTTTTAGTTGCATTCGAATGAGCGAGCGTCTAATTAGCCAAGTACGAGTTTTGGTGAACAATTAAGTGTTTTTTTTTCAAATTGTTTAATCAAAAAGCAAAAAGCATCAATATGTTGCGAGCGTTATTATTGATTTTTTGCTTGGGACACATTAGTGGTTCATTTATCGACCGCCCACGTCCGCCCATCGAGTTTCCTATGAAAAATATACAATATTCTATCGACATAGAATCAAATTCGACATACGAATCCAATTTCACTTCGAAATTTCAAGATTATTACAGAAGCGATGGTTACGTGTTGAATCTGCCAAATTTGAAATTGGAGGAGGTGCCGAATCCATATCCTAATTTCATCGAAAGTGATCAAGTGGTAGCTGTGAATTTGAGGAACAACGGCATTTACAGAATCAAGCCCGACTCATTCGACTCGATTCCAAGATTGCAGTACTTGGACCTATCGAGCAACAGATTGGCCTTTTGCGATTTTTTCAATTACGGCAGTTGTCTGAGAAATCTGATTACTCTTGTCATTGAAAATAATCAGCTACCTTCGGACAGTCTGTATCGAGAAATCAGCCAAGCGGGTTGCTTTCCAGAAGTTCAAAATCTCTACCTACGAAACAATCACATCAAGAAGCTCAACTTCTCGCTGCGCCAATCATTTCCGCGGCTCGTGTCTCTCTATCTATCGGACAACGAGATCGATAACTGCATTTTTCTTCAAGATGTACCTGCGAGCCTGGAGCACCTATACGTAGAGCGCAATCGCATCTATGGAATAAGCAGGTCTATACTCTGTAATTTGCGAACTCTGAAAGCCGACGGTAATATCATACGTTCGATATGTTATAAAAAATGCGGCGAATCAGCTCTACAACTGGTCTCGACGTCGAAGCTGCAGGTACTGTCGCTGTCTAACAACAGAATTACCGAGATCGAATCTTGCGCCTTCCACGACTCGTACAATCTCGAGAGCTTGGATCTGTCGAGTAATGGTTTAGAGACTTTGCACACGGCTACCCTCATACCTCTGAGGGCGCTCAAGACGCTAATTTTAGATGATAATCAGTTGAGAAATTGGCCGCAGTTCAATGGCAATTGGCATCTGAAAATTTTGTCGATACGCAACAACAAGCTGCAGGAAATACGCAAAGAACTTTTCAGCCAGGTTACGTCCTTGGAGCAGCTACTACTGGGTGGCAATTGCATAAAAACGATAGCGAGCAATACTTTCGAGGGCCTGACTTGGCTGGAAGAGCTCGATCTGTCGCGCAACAAAATCGAGTGCTTGCCAGCCGGCTGGATGAAGGACTTGAAGAGCTTGAAATCTCTGGATCTGCGAGGCAACAAGTTTAAATATGTGTATCAGTTGTCGCTCACTTGCTCGTCTCATCTCACCGACGTGTATCTGGAAAATAATAGGCTATCTATCGACGATAAGGACGAAATTCAACGATACTTTCCTTATGCACAGGTGCACTTGGATAGCTGCAGCAGAAGATGTCAGAGAGTAAGCGTACGCACTTGCGGAGCTTTGATATCGTGCCACTGACCTTCAAACGAGATTTTTGAGTTGAAAGATTGGAATGAGATTATTAAAGTGCTAAAGTTTATTTGTTGATTTTAAATATAAATGATTCTTCGAGTATGTTTATTTTTTCTTTATAATATCTTTAAAATTGTTTGCAGGAATGAATTATTTTTTGATTTATTTATGATTGAACGTTAACTATTGATTTATTCATGATTGAACGTTACTTAAATTACTTTTAATAATGCCGCTAATTCTCTCAGATTTTGTTTAAAGTTTAATATGTAAATCTTGCATATCTTCGGTCAAGCTAGCAGATATACGAAGATTGAATACTCGCTCGGTAAAAGAAGATGAAATATGTTTGCTTTACGTCAAGTCACGTCATCTCCTGCATTTAAAGTGTCAAAGACGAATGAATTAGAGAACAATCGAATTCCTCTCATCAGTAATCATTGCATAAAAACGAAAAATCTGTGAATTTCTATTTGCACGATAACAAAGAATATCTTTGTAAATGGATGTTGACAATTTAAAAAAATGTAATTCATCGATTACGAAAATTGAAAATAATGTTATTAAATTTATAATAATGTAAGACACGATTTTAAAAAAATGTTGGAATCTACACATCTCTCACATGTAATATAATTAATAATTATATTTTTTGTAAAACCATTAATATTATAAAAAAGTTACTTTTCGACAATGTAATAAATGAGAGAGTACTTTATTATTTATTGAAAGTATCAAAATGTTTGTTTTTCAAGTTTCAAAAACAGACCTATTACAAATGATTTGTCGATCAAGATTATTTCTTTCCCTTTCGAAATGATCCCAGACTCTATGCCGCGACAGGCATTGTGTTTGCCTTAGAATTCATTGCGGGTCCAAACTCGACATGGATTTTGGACCCAAAAGTGTCTCTCAAACTAGATAGAGATTTTCCCAGCCATCGGCATTCGTTGAGAGTGCATCCTCCAACCGAACAAAGTGCGCTAAGCAGCAAGTTCGGGGCACAAGTACAGACGAGAGAGACCGGGCGGGCCGGTCGCGCCCTTGGAATCGATTTTTGGTTGTGCGCCGCGCTCCCGGTGCAGCGGCCGCGGCACAAATATATATAGGTGCAGGGTGTACGTCGGTGCCGGATCCCTACGCGCGGCAAAGCGTTTTATACACATCGCTGCATAAGAAAGAGCTGCTGTCGAGCCGGTTGCTCGCTCGCAGGGGCCGTCCGGCTGCGGGGGCGCTTGCGCGCAAGTCGACAACAACAGTAGCAGTAGTAACAGCAGCAGCCGCGCCGCACCCCCGCTATATAACACACTTGCTCACACACACACATACACGATGCACAGAGTGTGCTGCGCTCGAGATTATATATCCGCGCTTTTTGCCGAGCTTTTACGCTCGATGCATCGGCTGTGCATAGGCGCCTCACGACTCGTGTGCATTATATATCGTACGACTTTTGTCGCGTGATCGTCGCATTAGAAAATAGCGACGGCTTTTTTGTTTTTTCTCTCATACATGAACGCCCAGCAGCTGTGCGCATCATCTTTTGCGCGATCGACTCTGAACTCCGAACTGCGGAGCGCTTGCTTCTGTAGGGAAAATGAAATTCGAGTCTCGTTCGGATCCACCGTTATATATAATGATAACGCTGTGCTCGACGAAAAATCCATCCATTTGCGGATGTTCAAAGGCCATCGACACTTTATCGCACGTCCGCTTTGTGGCCCATATAGTCTATATATAACGAGCGTCAAGCAGAGAGACGAGAAGTCCCTAAACGCGCGCGAGATCAAGGCTACGAGCATTGTTTATTTTTTTTCGTCTTTATTTTTGCTACCACGCGCGAAGCAATGGGCCACGAAATCAAAAATGTCCCATTTACTTGAGCTCGAGTGGTCGAGCGGTGATTAATCGACGAAATGCCATAGATTCGCGGATCGCGCGAAAGATCCGCGCGCAGTTAATAGGTATACAGGAAATCAGCGATAAGCCTGCGCGACACGTATTTTCATCATATACACATAACACAAGGCATATATTTGAAGCATCACCCATTCACGTCAAGTTGCTCTCCGACTCTTGTTCGCGTTTACGCGCGCGTGTATCACATAGGGCCTTTGCCACAGATACTTTTTGGAGTTCTCAGCTCCGTTTTCTCCCTCTCTCTCTCTTTCTCTTTTCCTCGCAGAACTCGCAAGCACGCGCCCACTCGCACACTCACACGATTCACGTATCATGTGCACGAGTAAAGCAGCACAGACACAGAGATAGAGAGGGCTATAAGGCACGAGAGATAGAGAAGAGGCCGAAGCCGTGTACGCTGCCTCCGCAACGAACAACGTATCGTTTGCGTCCCGGTCTTTCCCTCAGTGCACTCACACACGCTCGCACATACACTGCTCTACGTGCTATAGGTATAATCCAGCGAGTTGAGGTGTATTCTCGATGCAGCAGCACCTATATATACATATAGCTTACGAGCTTGAAAGAGAGAGAGAGAGAGAGAGCGGTTGGATGCGCGCGCTCGCGCGGCGCGACGCCCCACAAGCGGGGCGATGGCTCTAGCAGCAGCAGCTATAAGTGTGGAAATAGCGTCGTCGCCACCGCTGCTGCCGCCGCTGCTAGCCGCGAGAGGGGCTTCTCGCTGCTGCTGCTGCTGCCGTCTGCCCGCCTGCCGACGACGTCGCGGGAAAAGCTCCGCGTACATTATGCCGCGGCTCAGGCGCTCAGTGCTCGCTCGTACGCGGCTTCGGCTGTAGAGGCAAGCTTCGGGCGACTTTTAATCGTATATTAATATATAGAAAAAAATCATTTTTACACAAAACCCTAAGCGACTGTTGTTGTTCTAGCGTATAGTTGTTTTTTGCGCCTCGACGCTCTCTTTCTCTCTTTCGCTCTTTCTCTATTCTGAACGTTGTCTCACTCTCGTGTGCTTCGTGGGCTCGATTTGCAGCTTTTTCCCTTTCTCTCTCTCTTTCTCTCGCTCGTTCTTTCTCTTACTCCGTTGGTCCGGTAAAAGTTTCATAAGCTCGTTAAAAAAAAAAGACGAGTGAATAATGAGTGCACACGACTCTCCATGATCCGCCAGGTGTATTATTGACATGCAGTTCGGCCTTACGAATGCCCGGTGAACGCAGCCACTTGTTATTATTAACGAGCGATAGGTTGCTTCTGCTGCTGCTACTGCTGCTTTTGTAACGATCGACGACGACGAGCGCACAAGGCCTGTGTGTGCTACAACTGTGCTGTGGTGCTTCTTTTTTTTTTATGTAGCCGTTGTTGATGCACATCGACAATTATCAAAAGTTACGACGGTGAGCCAAAAACGCAAAGTTATTGCATACACATGTAGCACGTTGGTCACTTGATAAACGAGATTCTTTTCTTTCTCCTCTCTTTTCTTTCTCTATTCTCTTTCTCTCTATCTCTTACCGTTCAATCCTATAAGTCTCTTTCCTTAAAAATTTCCTTACTCTCTCTTTCTTCTCTTTCTCTTTCTCTATCTTATCTTACTCCTTTGACATTGCGACGATAGTAATTCAGTGTTTGCGACAAATCGTTATACCAGTGCGTGTTATGTATCGTTTCGGGTCGAAGTGTGAGTGCGTGCCGCTACATAATCTATCAAAGATGCTCGTGTCTCGTGAAAACGTACCTCGATCAATGAAGAAGAATCTGTAAAAGTGTGTGATCGAGAAAATTTATCGGTTAACATACAAAAAGAAAAAAAAAGTGCTAATAGGTGATTTTTATAAAGTGTAATTGGAAGAAAAAAAAAGTAGTTAACAAGTAGGTGGCTATGAAGCCCATCAACAGTGGTCCCCGAGTAACCCGCCTCATTGAGTTCGAACGTCGCGCTGCAGCGCCTATCAGCTGTCGAAAGTCAAGCTAGAGAGCCTGATTTTTTATCGTTTTTTTTTTCCTTTTTTTTTTCGTTAACATGACTTTGACTGATCGTCAGTAGCAGCAGCAAAGTGAACTCTACAGAGCTGCCACAACCCGTCAACTGTGAAAAACGATCGTCAACGGGCGGAATAATAGCCCATCTTAGTGCAAATCTTATCTACAACAAGAGGAAAGAGAAGAAAAATGTCGGGCAATTATACGGTGCGCTGCGAGCCCGGCTTGGTGGTGCCGGTCTGGTACCCGAGCGAGAATCTCGACCTCTTCGACGTGGTCTTTCGCGGCCTCGTCTACTTCTTCGTCCTCATGTACCTGTTCATCGGCGTGTCCATCATATCCGACCGTTTCATGGCCGCCATCGAGGTGATCACGTCCAAGGAGAAGGAGCTGGTGGTGAAGCGCCAGGGCAAGGAGCCGCAGATCATCGTGGTCCGCGTCTGGAACGAGACCGTGGCCAATCTGACCCTCATGGCGCTGGGCAGTAGTGCGCCCGAGATCCTCCTGTCCATCATCGAGATCTACGCGAAGGGCTTCCAAGCGGGCGAGCTGGGCCCAAGCACGATCGTCGGCTCGGCCGCCTACAATCTCTTTGTCATCATCGCGATCTGCGTGTCCGTCATACCGAACGGCGAGACGCGCAAGATCAAGCATCTGCGGGTGTTCTTCGTCACGGCCGCCTGGAGCATATTCGCCTACGTCTGGCTGTACATAATCCTAGCCGTGTCGTCGCCCGGCGTGCTCGAGGTCTGGGAGGGCCTGCTCACCTTCATGTTTTTCCCGGCCACGGTGCTGACGGCCTACATAGCCGATCAACGCCTCCTCAACAAGTACCTGAGCAAGGGCTACCGCATGAACAAGCGAGGCGTCATCGTGGAGACGGAGGCCGGCGACTCGGACGGCGGTGTCGAGCTCGAGATCAAGAGCCAGGACGGCAACGTCAACGGCATGATCGACAAGTACATGGACGCCGATTCGGCGGAGTCGCGCGAATTCGAGCAGACGCGACGCGACTACATCAAGACGCTCAAGGAGCTGCGCAAGCGTTACCCGCAGCTGGCGCTCGAGCAGCTCGAGGTGATGGCGCACGAGGAGGTGCTGGGCAAGGGCCCCAAGAGCCGAGCCTTCTACCGGGTGCAGGCCACGCGCAAGATGGTCGGCGCCGGCAATCTCAGCCGCAAGATCAGCGAGCGCGCCCAGAGCGATCTGAGCGAGGTCAAAGCCGAGCTGCAGCGCGCCGAGGCCGAGAGCATCGACATCGAGAACATCAACGCGATGAGGATCTACTTCGAGCCGGGCCACTACACCGTCATGGAGAACGTCGGCACGTTCGAGGTGGGGGTCGCCAGGACCGGCGGCGACTTGAATCGGCCCTGCGAGGTGGAGTACTGCACCGAGGACGGCACAGCCGAGGCCGGCTCCGATTACGTCAGTGTCAAGGGTACGCTGCGCTTCGAGCCCGGCGAGACGCGAAAAGTCATCTCGGTCTCGGTCATCGACGACGAGCTCTTCGAGGAGGACGAGCACTTTTACGTCAGGTGAGATCATTATAAAGTTGGCGATATCCTCGCTGTGATTTTGTCCTGGCGCGATCGATCGCTATATGCGTGTTAAAATCTTTTGGCTTGTAGCGATTCGACTCGTGCGCTAGCTTACATAATATGCACCTTGTAGATTGTATAGGCACGTTGAATCGATCGAGTGACTGGATAACGAGTCGCATCAATCATCGCAGTGCGTTATATGTGACTTATACGCGCACTACCAAATATTCATGATCTATAATTTGAAACTGTCCATACTATAGCAGCCAAAATAACTCACTTGAAAGATGTGTATCTAAATAATAAGCGCAGACAATAATATTATGGTACTATTTTGTACGCGCCTAAGTAAAGATACACAGTCTTTTTTGCTCCATTTCTTTCTTTATTTTCTTATAATTTTCCCTGCCTGCGAACGTTTAATAATATCGATCTCTGGGACATGGCAGTTGTTGGTTATACACACAGAGAGCGGCAAAAAAAATTTAATGCACGTATGCTGCATCGATCAAAGCAATCACTCTTTTTCTCGCTTCGAGCTTTGACAAAAATCAAAGGCGAACCGAGAGCAAACATCATAGGAGTGTGCTGTGCGCCTCTAGCTGATTGTACTCACTACTACTACTACTACTTGACGTATGATTCGCCTTCGACGTAACCAATCAATCGTGAAATCATGAAATTCGCTTTGAAAGTACACATGCGTTATAGAAGCAGCAGCGTACATATTATATTGATTGTAACGCGATAAGGCAAACAGAGCGTCTTGTGTGTGTTGCTTGCCTTTTCTCCCCCGGACCTTTCGTGCAACGCACATAACCGATAATTCCTCTACGTATTTACGAAAGGGGAAAAAATGTGTATACCCACACACACGCGTACAGAGAAGCAGGCGATTAAAAGTTCGCGATAAGAGCGCTGCACACAATGAAGGAGTGCCCGCGACTGCACGCGCGCGACGACAGAGAGAGAACTGCGAGGGGTTGCGCCACGCTCGCGGTACTTAACAAAGGGAAAGTCAGTGCAGCAGGCGCGACTTTATTGCGGCCGTCGAGGGTAGAAAACGAGCCTGGATTTTTTTTTCTTCTCTTTGTCGATATGTCCAGACGCACTGTTAACAGGCTTCGTAACGACTGCATTATTATATACCGCATAATAACGACACGGCTCGTCATCGACCCATACCCATGTAATATACGTTAAACCCAATCATCGTACGTGTAACGACCACTGCACCGCAAGTATATATCACACGTGCGTAGTACGCATAGCAGACGAGCTGCTGCTGCTGCTGCTGCACTTTTGTCGTGGCTTCGTAAGTGGGTCAAACGCTGAGCGGGCGCGCGCCCGACACAAAGGGAAATGATTATAAACTGTGAGAATTTACCCCGAAACACGAACGCGCGCGCGGATAACGCGTTGAGCATCGAGGTTTTTAACACGTGCACGGAGGAGACCGCACACGCGGGCACGAATACAAAAATCCGACCGAGTTATATATACCATAATGCCTGGGGGCTTATACTTGTCGCTTCCCGCGATTGAGCGTTTTGGAAATGTTTTCTCAAAACATTTCTGGAAATAAAGTCGAGCGGGCTGACATTTCGTCGTCGCGCGATTATTCTATACAAATAATATAAAACAACTCGTCGAATTCGCTTCTATATAGTTCGTAGCCACGAGTCTCGTTCTAAGGCTATTCAGAGATCAATCATTCACGAATTTCGTGCTCTTGTTTTGCTTGAATAATAACAAAAAAAAAGAGATGAAATAAATGTCAAATATTTTGAGCCAAACAACTCGTGGCTATACGCCATAAAACTGCCATTCTCAAATGTAGATCTTGTAATAATCTGTTTCGAACATTTCTTCAAAATAATTTAACTATATCGGGCTTGTCTCTCTGTTTTTGTCAGGCTGGTAAACTGCTCGCAACCGGCGATGCTGGCGTCGCCGAGCCTTGCCACAGTCATGATCCTCGACGACGACCACAGCGGCATCTTCGGCTTCCCGGAGCGCGACGTCGAGCTGATCGAGAGCATCGGCCAGTTCCCCCTGCGCGTCATACGCTACAGTGGGGCGCGCGGCCGCGTCGTCATCCCGTATCGCACCATCGAGGGCACGGCCAAGCCCGGCAAGCAGTACGTCCACAACGAGGGAAGTCTCACCTTTGAGGACAATCAGACAGAGTGAGTACATTGTTTACCGCATACATGGCGCATTTATAATTACGATCTCCTGAGCTATACTCCATATGCGTCACTCACGCGATGAAGTCCCGATTACGGCGCGCTTGAAGAGGCATCGTTTCCTTAATTTAATAATCTGAATCATCGGCTCTCTCTTTTTCTCTCATAGTAAAAACAGAATGACACTGAAGCGCTGTTGTGTACCTTTTAAGGACAAATTTGTGCGTGAGATTTTTCAGAAGGTCGAGTCCTCGCGCGCATCGGACTGCAGACGATTACAAAATTTGCCAGTCTATGACGTGTTTTGAATCAAAATAATAGTTTTTATGATACGCGTATCGCAAGCGAGAGAGAGAGAGAGAGAGCGAAAAATCGTGATGCAAAAATTAAGTTCATCGTGTGTCTCGAGTTTAAAATATTTTGAACGTGTGCGCGCATATAGATGCACGCAAATTGGATTCGAGTGAATGTGTATAAATAAAACTCGGTTATATACTTACAAGACCTTCTGGCTGCCAGGCCATGAAGGCGCGTACACGGCTGACGCGCCGCGCGCTGCATTGTCCATCACTCCGGACGCACTTTCCATAAAGTCGATCGCGATGACTATGAAAGAAAACCGGTTTTCTCGATTATGTATCGATGCGAGTGACGTGTTCATCATATTCAATCGATCGGTGATGTTATTATTGCTATTTTTTATTGTTTTTTTATGTTATGTTATGTTGATGTAGTTCTCAAGTGCGAGAAACGAGGCAATTAAACATGCGGCGAGTCGCGGGCGAGTCATTACATATATTATGTGCGGCTACGCGGTATTAAGAGCAATGATCGCATCTCTCGTATATACATCTTACCTATACTGATATAATACCCATGATGATTTACTCGAGCTGACTCAACACCTTGACAATGCAAATTAGTGACAACATTGTATGCAAGGCAGTACTACGCACTGACGCGAGAAATATAAATATTATTTTACATCAGTTGATGGAATATAACATAAATTATCCAAGTAATATATATATACAGAGATATGACGTTGGCCGATGGCTATGTGCTCACCGATAATCACATTTCATGGGACTGCACGATTGTTGCACCCGCAAAACAAACAAATATGCGAAACCTGGGTGACTGCTGCTGTGCCAGGCGAGAGCTCGAGCGCGCGTGTCATACATAATTTAACGTGCACTGTATATATATATGACTCGAGGGTCGCTGCTGCGATTCATCTCGCACAGTCACATACACACACGCGCACATGCATAGCTATATACTAGGCGCTATAGAGTCCAAAGTACCACATCAATCGATATATCTGTAATTGTGAAAACGCAACGCGAATTGTCTGTAGACGTATCATGACTGGTCCTACGTATGTATGAACAATGCAGTGTAGTAGTCGCCACCAGCGCTCACATACATACACTCGTGAATTCTCATGATGCGTGTAATGAGACTCGCGTTCTCTCGCGAGATGAGAGAGAGAGAGAATACACCGTGTCTATTCTCGCTTGCCTATCTACATATAGCCACACTAGCGGCGAACATGACGCAAGCCCACCGCGCTGCATTTATATAAATCCAAGACTGAGATAACGATGCATTTATAGATCCCGCTCTTACTCTCTCTTTCTCTGTCTCATCTCGCGAGCGAACGAGGCGTGCGCTCGAACTTACGTACTATAACTCTTTTCTATGCAATTGTCCCTACATATTGGCAAGTTGACGCTAGATCATGCAGACTGCACCTCTTCAACATAAAAAAGCGCAAAGAATGTAATGCCCGCAAACTGCACACGCTATGTATATTATAATGATATAGCTTCTTTTGGTTGTGCTGCTGATCGCAGCTGCGCTTCTGCAGCTTGCGATACGTGTACGCTATGTTATGCATGCGCTGGTCGTTGCTCTGACGTACGATATATATGCGTGCCTTGGTGTATCTGTGTATGTGTACGTGTGTGTGCATGTTCGCGCGTGGGCGTCATTTGTAATCCGATCGATGCGACGACTCGCACTCGACGAGCGCCTATTATGCTATATAGGTACAGCGCACACACACACACACACACACGTAACTTGGAGGTACATCGGTACATATACGTGTATAGAGAGACGCGTGCCGATTCCTATCGAGGCTGCACTTGGTAAATTCAGTATTGGACGTTAGGACGCCGCACTTGTGCTTGCACCGAGTATAAGCGTAAGACGTGTGCAGGCTGTACATTCTGTATGAAAAGCGACCGACCCTTACTCTATACATCAGCAGCGGCCTATAGCAACGCGCGATTCTATTATACGCGCGACTGACCTTATGCAATTCTTGACTTTTATGTTATAACATGCAGGCTACAACGTTCTAATCGATGCGCGCGTTTGTACCACCCGGCCAATCATACGATGAAGCACTTATCAGCTTTTTTTCTTCCCTTTTCCTTATATTATAGCTGCCTCGATAAAAATTATTCCATGTCCTGGACCGTGCGATGGCTTTATGGCCATCGCGATTTTATTTTTCCTTCATATTATATATACGACCCCATAGCTGGCTATTCTACGACCGTATATATCGGATCTACGATGTCGACGACGACGACGACGCTTTCTTTCGATCTCGTCATGTATATAGCGAGAGGCGAAATATCCGATTGGCCTGGTCTTTTCAAAACTTTTTCCTGCACGACGACGGAAAAACTCTGAGACGCAGCTGCGATATATAGTTTCGTTTATTCGCGCGAATAACTGTCCTATATAACGCGCGCGCAGACTCGCTGTATACATATTTATATCGATTTTACACCGATGCGTATGAACGTAAAATATCGAAGGTATTTGTCCCTGAAAACAAATTTCGCGCTGACAAACGAAAAATAAACATTGAAATTCAAAACATACTACGAAAATGTGCTGGTACTTGAAGCTGTGCACACAGCGATTCGGCTACACAATAATATAGGTGCGAGTTTTTGTGTGGCCCGGCGCGCGCAAAGTCTCGGTATCAAACGAGAAAATATCTTTCGACGCGCGCACATACACATGCGTTTGTCTATTAATATCTATTGTCTTGGCACAATTGGCCCAAAAACGTCATTTCGAGTAAGAGACTTCGGGGCGCGTGAGCTACTGGCTACAGCTACAACATAGCTGTGCCGCCGCCGTGTGGCGCGTATATATTCCTCGTTTCGGAGCTTGAGACGCGCGCTGCACACGTGTTTCGCAATCGCTCTTCAAAACCTCTGACTTTTGTGCGGCAAGCTATAATTCGCGAGCGGTGCGTTAATAAGTATTAGGCAAATCAATTGAGCGGCTATACAAAGTAACGAGAGAAGAGATAAGAACGCGAGCCAGCGCCAAATCCTATATAAGAGAGACGCACGAGCGAAAAAAGAAGAAAACGAGAGGAGGAAAGTTGTGTCGCGCGCGAGCAGCGGCAAGCAGTGGTAGCAGCAAGCAGTGCATACAGAGCTGCACAGACGAACGCGTTTATCCGCCAGTAGAGACAAATATAACTGCGGCGCGAAATTTTCTTGGCAGAAATTTGCCTGATCGGGGCCAGCGGGTCTCTCTCTCTCTCTCTCTCTCCCTCTCTATAGCTGTATAGTCCACTAGAAATTATTGCCACGCTCAGCTGCTAGATATATAAGCCACTTCCCATGCTAATATACCTGCAGCGCGACAATCTCATTTCTTTCGCACGCGGTAATGAAGCTCCGCGGCTCTTCGAGAAACTATAATGCGGCGACTCCAACGTTAATAATTGGATTTATTTTCAAATTTTTTTAGTTTTTAATTTAACTCTCAAACGGAGTTATAGAATTATTTAATTGTGCAGAAAATTTGCCAGTGACGAGTACATTACGAGTAATACGAGATGATGGTGAATCCATTAATAAATCACGCCTAAAAGTTCCGGAACGCTTGAAAAAATCTATTTCTTTCATTTTCAAAACACATACACATAGTGAGTGTTTCATAATTCCGTTGAAATAATAAGTCAAATCTCCGAGCATAACTGTTCGCGTCCGCTCCTAAATAGTTAATATACACACACGTTTGACGCGTGTTACACAATTTGTAGTTTTTGCTTATTATTTTTTTTTCATCACATCCGTCCGTATTATACGTTTCCGTCTGCATGTTCCCATATATAGACAGCGCACATCGCAGCATTGTCACCTTATCTTTTTGCTTTTCATCTCCCACTCGTGGATGTGTGTACGTTAGGCAAGCGAGCAAACGATAGAAATGTCACGAGGAATCAAAATTTCTGGCGTGTGCGGCGACGGAATTGGACGGACGCGCAGAGAGAAGAAAACTCACGCGGCGGCTATCATCACGGACGTTGCGACGATCATCAGCTGTGACGAAGACGATCTGACGATGACGAAGAGATCAGCGTACTATTGCGCCCGTATATAGCTTCTGCACGGGTGCTTATGTACGCGCCGCAAAAGTAATGAGCTGAATATTTTAAAGTAGCTCAATATACGAATTTGAGATGCTGCGCAAAGTTTTGTGAAATATTTTATTTTGCAATAATTTGTCACTTTAGACGTGTTATTTTTTTTACTGTGACAAATTAAATCAATTAATCGTCGAAGCGAAAAATAAATATTTATTTGAATTTAAGAAACTTGATCGGTTCGTATAATATAATTATTAGTTTTGCGTACATTTTCTACACTACCGACACTCTAGGGTAAATTTTTACAATTTATAACGCCAGATAGCGATACGTAAACTCGCGTGAAATTCAGGCGAGTGTTTACTATATACTGCGACTAAGTTTAGCGTTAATCTCAATCATTTAATTGTGTTCTGATATAGTATCTAACAAGCCTAAAAATCAAACTCTCCCCTATCAATAGGATATTAAGATGATAGCTATTTTTCAAAATGCTTAGATCCTCGCTTCCGCCCCTCTGAATGGTAGTTGAGAGCGCACGAATAAAGCACAAAAGAATGTTATCAATTTTTTTGGTGTAATAATC